GCCCGACCCATACCGCCCATCGCTGACGACGCCCTACGCATAGACCACACCAGGAAACCGATGATCAGTAGAGTCGGTATAAAACTGACCACATTTGACCTGAAAGTGTGATACAAAACCAGTTAAAACACACATCACTAGACACTCATTAGACCCGTGCCCTCACAGACTAGTGTTTGTGAGGGCACGGGTGTCAGGCCAGTCGCCTACCCGTCCATTTCGGTCTTGTAGACGACGGGCACAAAGTTCGTGGGCTCGACGTTCATCTCTAGCTGAATGTTCTCGAGGTTGCGCTCAAACGTGTCCACCGAACCGATGTTGAACCACAAGATGTTGCCGACGTCTCCGCCCCGACCGCCGGTGCCCGACACGAACCGAATGCGGACCCACTTCTTGTTCACCACTTCCAGTTTGTCCACAACTCCGCGGCTCAGGTAGTTGTTGATGAACTCTTTCCACGTGATCTCTTTGTAGCGCATCTCGTTGTACGCCAACAGACCTGCGGATCAGTTTCAGTGATCATTAAAGAGAGTGTGAGTGAGTGAGTGCGTGTGTGAGTGAGTGTGAAGACATACCTAATACACCCAAAGTGGTGACGAGCGCTATGTTTGTCCATCGGTTCCCATCCTCTCCGGGACCGCCTTTTCCCGGGAAATTGAACTCAAACTTCCAGTCCTTACTCTTCGCGGATCCGCCGCTCGACGGCCAACCGGACTGACCCGTCGACGGTCTCTGTTTGGGTGGCGGCGACTCTTTCTTATCACCGGCAGTGGTCTCCGACTTCTCGCCGCTTGAATCGGCCTTTTTCTCGGCCCCAGTCTTGCGGCCGCTGTTCGGGAAGTACTTCTCGAAGCCTTTCGGCACCGGATTGTCGGCCAACTGGAGTCGAAACCTCTGCAGCCAATCGGCGATCGCCGGCAAGAAGTGGTTGTCCTCCACGTGTTTGAACTGTACGGACAGACAGACAGACAAATAGAGACATAATTAGTAGTAATCTATAACTCATTGATAACTGAAGACATGTGTTGTCTGTACTCACGTATTGTCGGCCAACAAATGACGGCTGAAGAAGCGCTTTACGTATGTGTTTGGCGTTCAGACACCGGAAGGCCATTGTTTACAATAGTGTGTCTTTGACTGGATCTGATTGGTGACAATTACGTGATGTTTGTGGCAATTGTTGTATTGATTGTGTGATTCAATGGGTGTTTAAGTAATCAATTGATTCAATGATAACAATAATAATCGCATTGTTTTTGATTTGTTTACACTTTTAGTGTTGTTTTCATATGTAATGCAATCAATGCATTGGTTTCATCATAAATGTACGCATTTTTACCATAAGTAACGTTTAGTCAATTAATTGGCCTTTAATTAATCATGTTTAGTTAATTTTTGTAATGTTTTATCATGGTTGGTTTGTGTTTACAGAATTAACTTACCTTGTTGTAATTAATTGATGATTTATATCATGTTTATTGTGCCAGGTAACTTTGATTTAGTAATTAATAGCCTATTGGTATTACCCATAAATTTTATACCAAGTTCATTATTAAACTACCATTAATTCAATTACAACCAGTTTTAAATCAAATTATATTTTATTAATTCGATTAATTAATTCATATTATATTCACAATCATTATATATAATGAGCGATACATTTAAATCACATGTAATTTATATTATTAGCGGTTTTATAGTGTTTTTTACAACATTTTGGTTACAAATTAGTTATTGTTTTTAATTCACATTCAGTTATAATTAAAATTAATTATAATATAAATAAATGACAGCAAAAATTCATATCAATAGAGATCACAATTAATATATTGAGAGAGTTTTTGACACCAATTGAAAACAGACTGACATTTGAATGGCTTTTATGAATGTATAGTTAATTATTGCTGCGGCGGTGGGTGTGGAGGCCCGGGTGGGCCCCTGTGCTGGTGCTGCTCCTCGTCGTCGTTGTCCTCACTGGACACGTCTCCCTCATTGGGCACATCAGTCATGTGTATATTGCTTAAGAGGTCGCGCATCGCGTCCAACAGAGAGGTCACCGAACGGCGCAAGTCGTGTGTATCGCCGGGCGCTCGACCGCCGACAGCTCCGGCCGGCTCGTCAGCACCGCCTACGGCTGCGGCGCCCCTCTGACCGCGTCTCTGTTCCATCTGCTGCGCAATGGCCGCCCGATTACGGGCCACAACACCGGCGGCACCGCCAGCGACACCACCGGCGCCGGCGATCAACTCATCGGCGTTGAAGTCCGGCAGCCATGACCTGAGAAATACACTCAGTATATTCTGGTCGGCGTTGGCCTGTGTTTGCGGATCGGCGGCCGGTTTGGGCGGTCGGGTATACGATATGATTGTGTCGGTCGGTGGCAGCGGATCGAAGCCGAAGATCGTGTCTTTCGCTAAGTCCTGATCGCAGATATAATTACCGATTAATTCAATGAGTGATTAAAACTAATGATAATTACGTTCGGGAGGGCGAGCGTCGCCTCCTTAATGCCCGACAGTATAACGTGTCTCAAGACATTCCTCGGGGTTCCGCCGCTCAGGTATTTCTTGCGCCTATAGTTCAAGGTATGAATTAATACCACAATAATTATCAATAGTATGTAAAAGTGGATCAAATAGTCTGACCTCTCGGCGCAAACGGTGACAAACGGGTCTCTATTGGCCACTCTATCCATAACTGTCCGTACGTTGCGCTCCAACCACGACATGATATGCCTGTCCTTCCATAACAGGTGTGTGCGTCCGATGTATAGCACATTCAATTGGGTTACGACGGGTGTAGTAGCGGTCGGGCAGCGGAAGTAATCACATTTGGCCACTCGCGGGTCGGGCTCTACGGAGCACTTGTCCAACAGCGCCAACAGAACGCCCGGAAACATAATCAACGCCTCCTGGAGCTGATGGTCAGCCCTGTCGGCCATATCGGGCGCCTTTTGGGACAAGTAGTACAGCGCCAGTGCTGTCGAGTACCGGATGTTCGGGAATAGGGATAACTTTTTGCTGGTCTCCCACTCCGAGGCCAGTGTTAACAGATAGTCGTACTGTTCACAGCGCAGGGCATAGAAGTCAATCATCAGCAGCACTGATAGGGGGTCGCCCTCCGGGTCCAGACTGTGTGCGCACACAAGTAGACAAACAAGTGGTTAGTGTTAAGTGGATCGGGCTGTTAATGGCCGGGCATTTATTTGGTCAGTACTGTACCCGAGTATGAGTTTACAGAACTCAAGGGCTGTGCGATTACAGCCGCGTTGGCCGACAAAAGTCAAGTGTTTGAAGAGTGCGATATAAAAGGCCCGGTTCTCGGGGCGCCTGTAGTCCAGCCGACACGTGGCCTGCGTTACGTTGAATAGCGGATGGAATGTGTGTTCAATGCAATACAGGGCCCGCTCTGTAGTGGTGGCCAATAGAGGGGTGGGAGGAGAGAGAGTTACAGTACAGGTGTTAATGAGTTATGAGATAAACAATAAGTTTACGGTAAGACTAGATTTTACCGATGAGTTCGGCGGCCATTTGATTGTCTTCAGCCATTTTGCAGACATCGCTGAACTGAATGATGGTATCGATATGGTATGGATGGGCGTTCAATATGGCGATCAAATTGTCCGGATTATAGCTCTCGACGGCGTCGGCGAACATGTGCTGAACGGACTGATAGCTCCTGTTGTGCGCAATGCGAAAGTGTAGGGAATCGCCCACTTTCTCCACGTAATCCATAGTGAGACCAGATTTGCCCACATTTTGCCAGTTCCTGGGGTTGACCAGAATCCAGGAGCGGCTAATGCTTGGTCTGTGGCCGCGACCGGGCCCTCGACGGCGACCACTGCCGCCCTGTTGTTGGTGTTGTTGCTGTTCGGCGACCACTTTCGACCCAAACATGCGTTTCATCTCATTCTCGGGGTTCAGATGCCGGGCCTCCACAGCGATCACCGACTTCTTCACCACTGGTTTATCGGTGGCCACAGCGGCGGCGGCTGCGTTCAACTCGTGACAATTGCCCAACAGTTTGTTCACCTCTTCGACGGTGGCGTCGATATCTTCGTCGTCCGGGTCGGCGTCCAACTGACCCTCCAATGACTTCTGTGAGCGGATCTTCTTCTTCTTCCGCCGGCGCTTCTTCAGTGAATCCGTCGATTGAGTCGAGTCCTGCTTCTCGAGCCGCGACTTCTCGCCGCCGGCGCCGCCCACCGGAAGCCAAGCGCGAGCGGAATCGTTGTCTTTGTCGTCGTCCTCTTTGGCCTCTGTGTCTGACATCGAGTTTTGGTCCAAATTATTCAACTGTTGGGTTGAGAGAGCACACCATCGGGTGATCATTAGTGGTTATAATCAACTCATTTATCACGTGTTAAATACAGAGCAAAAGGATAGTAGACTAGAGAGGGGGTGAGGGAGGGGTAGGTATGGGCTATGTATGGCCGTACGGACAGGCAATGCGATGATAACAACCGCAACACTTATATGACAGACAATTAACCAACAAAAACACCGACTAATTAACCATAATCTTAGATGTCTGATAAGGAGTGGGTGAGGGGAAGGGGTAGGGATAGTGGGGGACAGGTATGCAAACACACAAATACCAATTCAAAGCGATTGAGCGCCAGTTTCTTATGCTTCGGTACGGCGGGAGACGGCCCGCCGCTAGTCTTGTCATTGGTTAGGGAATCGCTGTCCGAACCGCCGCCGCTTCCCATATGATTGTCGACACCGCCGCCGGTGACGGCCGCGCGGGTAGACTCGGGTTGGGCTCCGGCAGTGGCCGTGGCTTTGAGCACATCGTGATTATCGCCGTATAGTTTCTTCAGCACGCGGTTAGACATTGTCTTGTATTGTCTGTCTGTGTGGCCAACGATCGGGTGGTGAGTGTGTTAATTAGGTTTTAATTATAAGTTTTAATTAAGTGTTAGTTTTAATTATAAAAGTGTTTATAATTACGGTTTTAATGGACACGAAATGCACGCAAAAAATATTTGTAATTAAAATCTAAGTTAAAACTAATTTTGTAAATGTATTTATTAAAAATAACTGTTTATTATATTTAATTAATTTAATAGTAATTTTGTAATTATTATAATTCGTATCGATTTGTAAATGATATCATAATTAATAACATAATTATTAAATAATTGCAATAAATTTAATTGCAATTTAAATGTCAATACAATTCATGTGTTATTTTGTTTGTTGGGCTAAACATATGATTAACACAACGCGAGTCATAGCGTGTGATAAAAAGGCCCAAAAATACAAATCATTGAAACTAATGACTGATAACATATCAAAAAGTATCGCACTTTCAGTACCTTTTCATATGATTCCCAATTGCCATACAGTAAGCCAATGCTTTTTAAATACCATGATGTCTACCCATAGACAACGTGTTATATATATTTAGTATTTTGATTAAAATTAATTATTTGTAAGTTTGTAATAGATTTAATATTTTATTATTTAAGATCTGTGCTAGGTTATTTATTGTTATTTGTTTGTAATCGTCATTGTTTGTTATTTAAATTAAGTTTATTAATATAAATTAGCATAAACTATTCAACGATGTTTATGCACTCAAGTAAACCCTAACCAAACAGAATAACAGACTAGACATATTATGATGGGTTAGGTAAACCCTACTTAGTCTATAACCGATATACAAACAAGCTATGTAAATTTGTTAAATAACTATAAAATGTGCAGGTTTACATTTTATGTGTTATGTAATCACTCATAAAACAATCATGATTTAAGTAACATGCATAATAAACATTGAACATTATAACCCGGATCAGCCCAGACCCGGGAAGTCAGTGTTAGGGAAGGACGGGACTCACGTCTAACGGTTACGGAATATCACAAACAAACATCTGTTTGAAAGCCAAACATTCAATCTATGAGTCATTTTTTTGAATGCAATTCTCAATGCAATCCATGTATACCTGTATTAACACATATACACAGTATTACTGCTATAATAATTACCATCATATAAATTCTGTGTGATCTAACTAGTTAACTTATTCAGACACAAGCCACCTTCGCACACGCACATTATACAATTTACATTATTATATTTTAAGTGCACGTGTAATACTTGACAAGTTTTGTAGCGATCATCATCATTTTTTTTAAATATTACCTAGTTGTAATTTTAATTAAAAGTTGCAACTTTTCAATTGACATGGATGTTAATGGAAAGGTGGCGGTTAACGGCACGGCCGGTGCGAGTGGCAAGAAAGTGGCCTTTATTACCGGTATTACCGGACAGGTATGTTATATCATGGGCTATATTGTTATAGCTAGGTTGTTTTGGTTTTAATAGTCATGTTTTAAGTTTTAAATATTTATTAATCAAACACCTGGATTACGCTGATGTTTTTACCAGGGGGCAATTACCCTGACTGTTAGTTCATGTAGTCTCTCTCTCTCTCTCTCTCAAAATCAAAAATATTTTATACAAAAATTATTATTCAAACAGATATTCTTCAAATATATCAATAAATTATATTTTAAACAAATATTACAAAAATATTTATAGCAATTATAGTTAATCAGAAAAAACTAGATCATGTAAATTAAACTTTGGAATACAATACAAATATACTAAAAATTGTATTAATATTACATAGATTTTAATGAATAATTAATACAAAAAGCACATTAATTTATTGCATTGATTCCCATATAAAGTAATATTAATTCCGTGTCTATAATAAGACCTAATGATATCCTATTAAACAAATGACAATCAATAACATAAAATATTTATATCAACATGATAAAACATAATTGCAATTAAAACAACATCCTTTACTAATTTTATTGTCAATAAATTAACAAGATTGTATATTTATTGAGCTAGATTATGTATAATATTGATTTATATTTAATGTATTTTATTGTATCAATACCATTTTACTTTTAATATATTGGTAAAAATAATCATCTATCTTAATCGCAATACACAGCTAGTTGTTTATTTAATTTTTTATTTTATCATATTGGATGCAATAGTTACTATAATATTTATTTGCCAAGCAATTTCATTAATGAATCATTAATCTAGCCTATCGTTAATTAAAGTATAAACAACTTTTATCACTTTGAATATTTATGAAAAAATAACAACACAATTATTGCACGGAAAATAAATGCCATTGAATTAACATTGAAATGTAAAACACACACGATAAATCGCTGATTAATCACGGAATTAACCTAAACATTTCAAATTAAACACATAGCAAAAAACTCCCATTAATTAACCATAAACAAATAAATACTAAAAACATTTTAACCCTATTATACCGTTGATAACCTATAGGACGGCTCGTATTTGGCGGAACTCCTACTGGAAAAGGGCTACGAAGTGCATGGAGTGATCCGGAGGTCCAGCAGTTTTAACACCGGACGCATTGAGCACCTGTACGGCGACCCACTGACCCATAGGGGCGGCTGTAAGTCAATCACACACTAATAATTAATACCATGTTGTAGTTAATTAAATATATATATATATTTCACCAACTAGCAATGCACCTGCACTACGGCGATATGACCGACAGCTCGTGCCTGGTCAAACTGATACACGAGATCCGACCGACCGAGATCTATAACCTGGCCGCTCAGTCCCACGTCAAGGTGTCGTTCGACCTGAGCGAGTACACGGCCAATGTGGACGCGTTGGGCACTCTACGCATTCTGGACGCCATACGTACGGCCGGTCTGGAGCCGACTGTCCGTTTCTATCAGGCGTCTACATCGGAACTCTATGGCAAAGTGCAACAAATACCCCAAACAGAGACCACCCCGTTCTACCCCCGGTCTCCATATGGTAAAAATATATTTACGTTGAATACAGTATATCCACTGTCTCTTTTACCTTGATAATAGTGTTGAAGTGTGGAAAGGTTGGGGGCAGGCAGGGGCACTTTGATTGAATAGGGCGTTTAATAATTGTGTGTTTATTACCTATGTTAATGAGCTTATCGCATTTTTTGTTTTTGGAAAATACAAAAGTTTTTTTAAAACTATTTAAAATTATTATGCATTCATATAAGTAACCAATGAAATACATACATAATTAATCTTGTTCATTATTACCACCAATATAACTAGGCGTGGCCAAACTGTACGGCTACTGGATCGTGGTGAACTACCGAGAGGCGTACGGCATATACGCCACCAACGGTATACTGTTTAACCACGAGTCGCCGCGTCGGGGCGAGACATTCGTAACGCGTAAAATCACCCGATCGGTGGCGAAAATTCACCTGGGCGAAATGGAATACTTCGAGCTGGGTAATCTGGACTCGCGGCGCGATTGGGGTCACGCCAAGGACTACGTGGAGGCCATGTGGCTGATGCTCCAGCAGCCGGTGCCCACCGATTACGTGATCAGTACGGGTGAAGCGCATTCCGTGCGCGAGTTTGTCGAGTTGGCCTTCAAGCGCATCGGCCGAGAGATTGTGTCAGTAGTATTACAGTCACACATAATGTTGGCCCCCGTTATAGTGAACTAGATGATTTTTTGTTAACTGTATGTTTGGTTGTACTCTTCATTATAACGAGTGTTTTAAATGTTCATACAATAGACACTCGTTATAATGGACTGTGTGTTACAACTAAATTTGCGAACATGATAGTAGTTTACCAATTGAATAAGTTAATGTTTTTTACCGAGTTTTATTAATGTCCGATTTAGTATTAGCTTATAAACATTTTACATTTGAATCTAGTTCATTGTAGCGTATGTTTTAATTGCCACATTTTTACCATGATAATTTAAGAATGATTTAATTAACATTGTTATATATATTCCTATCATATTCCTTATGGATTGGCGAATAAAACACACAAAACGTGGTAAACGTTTCGGCCGACAGATGGGAAGGAAGCGGTGTTAACGAAGTGGGAAAGGATAGGGAGACGGGTATTATCCGCGTGCGAGTCAATCAAAAACACTTCCGTCCATCTGAAGTGGTAAGTGTCACCTCCCGGTGCTCTCCACACACCACTCACTCTCACACACACATACACAAACATACACCGCTATTATCGCCACTACCGGTGCCTTTCATAGAGCAAGACATAGTGTATATACCGGTGTGTGTTATGCGGAATAGTAGCCAATTTTGGTGGCCATAAGTGGTGTTCATTCTCAGTACTCAACACATCGGGTGGACAGACAGCCTGTCCTCTGTGTGTGTGTATGGGAGCTGTTATTATTGCTGTCGAGTGTTATGTGGTATTAATGAAAAAGCCTATCAAACGGCTCAATATCTCGTATCGGGAGAGAGAGAGAGAGAGAGAGAGAGAGAGAGNATTGACTCGCACGCGGATAATACCCGTCTCCCTATCCTTTCCCACTTCGTTAACACCGCTTCACTTCAAATCTCTCTCTCTCTCTCTCTCTCTCTCTCTCTCTCTCTCATACAATAGTATTAAATATTATTGGACTATCACTCGAGAGCTCCCGACCCGTCGTCTCGTCTATACCGACTTGACTTGACCACCGGTGCGAAAACTGCACTCAATGTTTGTTTTATTGCGAGAGTACTCTATATATGGTATGGGAATGGAAATGGTTATAAAAATCCCTTTTTTTATTTAAAATACACTTGAAATGAAATGATTGAAAAAATTGTACTATTTTTCGATACAATATTCTTAAGTTATTATATCCTTTCCCTTGTATCAGAAATAACATCTATGTATAGACTTTATATACTGTAGATTTTATACATGCAATCTATACTGTACTGGTATATTGTATACGTGTATACGTGTATACTATAACTTATAGTCTATAAGTCATAATTCTGGTAAAATTAATTAAATATTTACTAATAACATTTTCATTAAGCATTGAAAACATGGATTATATGAAACCAATATCGTTTTAATTAACGTATATTTTATTTGTTGTGCACAAAATCCAAACCACGAAACAATATCCAACGGATTAGCGTTTGAAATGTAATTAAAAACTATTTGCACTGAAAATAATACACAACACAAAAATCTTATGACACGTAAAAACTAATTGATTTAAAACATACTGTGTTTCGCGTGAAAAGGCTTTTCGCCAGAAAAAAACTAAACAAAATATTTCTTTGTATAACACATACTGAGGAGAGAGAGAGAGAGAGAGAGAGAGAGAGAGAGATTGCTAGAGAGCAGTAAAGCTCACTCACACTCGCTTAAAATAACAACTCGAGGGCCCTATTGTGCTGTTAAGCCGGGGATCAAGTGGTTCATCAAAATTGAGAGAGAGAGAGAGAGAGAGAGAGAGAGAGAGAGAGAGAGAAAATAAAATCCTAGCACATATACAATATACATCCTATATAATGATATTGCGATAGTATTGCCTAAAAGGCGTACAAAATTACATTCAACATTTGCGGTGGCGATTGAAATGAATGCAAATGAATTGCATAATAATTACATGTTTAAAATGTTTTGGTCCACCATTGTGTGATAACATGGTAGAATTTATATGGTAATTGAATAGGGGGCAAATGTTTTGTACGTGGCACAATAAAATATATTGCAAACACAATTCTGGATTCTGTAATTTGCATGTTCAAAAACACACATGTTTGTTTTTTCACGTACTGATAAATTACTAGTATAATAAATTCGCTCGGTTCACTATTTCACGTACTATTTATCCAGGCACATTTGTATAGCCCTCTTTCACTCTCCCTTACCCAATGAAGCATTCATTCGTACAGTAAATCAAGCAATAAATACCAAAATGATAAAATTAAATTTGATCAAGATAGTGTCAACTTAATTATTTAATTAAAACTAGCTAATAACCAAATTTAGTACCACTTATAACACCCGTAGCCTTAAACTAGCCGTCCATTGCTGAGCGCCCAAAACCCACACATCAATACCACACGTAAGAAGAATTTTATTTTAAAATATTTGTCTAAGAATTTATATCACGAATAAAGTGATTATACGGCAAGTATTTAGGGTATAGTGTATTCGCATTGTGTGGGGTCTCGACAGCAGCACCCGTACCCTACCGTACGGCACATCCACAACACGACCTGTCATTGGCATGACATGAGACATCTCTCTCTCGTCACTCATCCTATCCTTTCAATTCAATCTATGGTCTAATTCTCGCTGTTTTTCTGATCCAATACTTGAAATACTAAGTGAATTGAATCGACGAGAGAGAGAGAGAGAGAGAGAGAGAGCATAATACCATTGAAAAAATAACTTATTTTAAGTCCGTTTAGTAGTTATATTGTTATGTATTTAATAATACGATAAGATATGGGGAACGGGAGAGGGAGGTAGGGTTTAACTCACCCCCACCTATACTATACTCCCGTATCCATAATACATACCATGATATACAGTGATATATACCGTAATATCGGTTTAATATATGCACACAATTATGTGATTTGTGGGCACAAAAAAAGTGTGAATATTTTATAACCAAACTATTCAATGGTATAGATATTGAGCAAAAAATCCCATAGAAATAGTATGAGTTAGAAATATGGGGGAAATATTTGCCGTTTCACTCGTCGTAAACACATTATGTTTACATCAAAAGTATATTTTTAAACATTAAATATTTTACATTATTTCACAAAATATTCTGTGTTTATATTATGCGCTGTCTTTTGGTATAATAGTGTTTGGTTTTAGCAAAAAATGAATAGTTATTTATAAATTCATTTTATATATTGATATATTATGAGGAGAGAGAGAGAGAGAGAGAGAGAGAGAATCATGCAATTGGTTGGCCAGTAATATAATGGGATGTTTTGTTTTGTTTAAACCACTCGTTGCATAACAACAACTATAATCATTATCACCACTACTAGATCTCTCTCTCTCTCTCTCTCTCTCTCAACAAAATCAATGAAATAGTACATAATATATACAGAATATTCTGTGTTAATTGTATTATCTATACATTATTACTAGACATTGATTGTTATATTAATTGTATTATGTTATTAGCGAAACTTTAAACAAGATTTGCCGACAAATTTCATTAACAACACACAAATTTAATACAGAGTTTTTGACATTTAATTTAATTTCGCACATGATAAGTATCTCTGTGCTACTCTCATCTCATCTCTCTCTCTCTCTCTCTCTCAAAATACTGTGAGTGTTATTAACAAAAACTGTTTTCAATTAAAACAAACATTAAATTTGTTTATAATAACAGAGACTGAAGAGAGTCAGAGAGAGAGAGAGAGTTAGGGAGAGAACTAAAGAGTAAAAACAAAAATCAATCACAAAAATGTATTTTCAATCCCTATCTGCCGTTCACTACAAAACACCACCACTTTATAGTCAATAGACAAATAACTATTTGTATCGCTGTTCACAAAACTAATGATAATTTAAGCAAAAATATTTTGAAACATCATTTTAAAAGCGTTGGCCAAGAAATTGTTGGTATAGTCTAATTAATTTAATCATCTACCAGGTATGTTTATTTAATCATATTTGTTACTAACCAATGTCAATTTACATCGATATTGACTAAGTTTGTTTATGCATAAATTGTTTTATTAAACATTATCATTTTTATTTGTTTAATAAGTTACTGATGTGTAAAATTGACAACAATCTAACTTATTATAGATACAGAAAAGTGAATACTATAAATATAATATAATAACCTAGCTCATACTTACCATTACTTACCATACTCTGGCAATACAGTGATGTTAAACTATAAAATATAAACATAAGATAATTTTTTTGAGAGACTTTTAATTATTAAAATAATGTCTTGTTTAAGTTTTTATATACACAAAATTCTAGTATAATATAAATAAATATTATTTAATAGTGAGTGAGTGTGAGAGAGAGAGAGAGAGAGAGAGAGAGAGAGAGAGTCTATTCACATGATAATTCTGTTGCCATACAATTAATGCCAATAATTTTTTTTGTTAACAAATATACAAAAGCCAAGAGTTTATTATACTTTATATTTATTGAATTTATAAATAAATTTAAATATAGATATGTATTATACAAATGTATTAATGTATGCATATTATACATGTTTGATTTAACAGGCAATTGAACGCAACGAGCTATTTATCGTGAAATTTACAATGTACTTTTACAAAAACAACTCGCCCAAAACTTTGCATGATCGTGAATTTAATGTAAATATAAATAAATACCTACTTTAAATTAAACATAAACAATGCTAAATGGTTTAACACATACACACAGTGTGTTTGCTTTCGTATTGAATACTTGTTATAATGAACACTCGTTATAATCAATTGAGTTAACACACAGTTGGAGACTATTTTGAAGTCACTTTAAACTAACGATTATTATTATGATTATTGTCGTCAACATCCCATCCCATACCCAATAGCACCGACACTCACTCACTCTCCCATACAGTGAACAGTGTTTATAATTATATGTATAATGTATTTCAAATACAAAAGCATATATTTATTCAATAGATGTTAACGTTTCTATACAGACATATAGTGTACTATTATATAATATGTTTGTACATTCAATATCCTGTCGGACAATTTTTGTCGCTATTCAACTGTCACTTACATCATATTAAATATAATGTACTATTCGTTATAATCAATGAATATAAATGATACCGTTTAGAGAGAGAGAGAGAGAGAGAGAGAGAGAGAGAGAGTCAAAAGCTGTCAAAACAAACATTATCACAAATATAGTTAGCTTAATATCCTGCCTGGGTGGTCATTTCAAGTTTACACACATCAGTCTGAATAGAATTGTACAAATGAACATGGTGGTTAACACTTGCATAGTTACTACATATGCATACTGTACCTTTAAAAATTGTTATACTTAATATATTAGAAATTTTTTACATGCAATTCAAAATTATTTTAAAAAATATTGCTAGCTAGATATTAGTATGGTTATAGACTATACCTTATAATCAACAATTTTATTTATTATACAGTATATCTCAAAATTGTATATTTAATGCAATCGCACCTGATACAATACGTGAATTTTATATATAAAGTATAAATTAAAATTCCCAATAATTTTATATTTAAACTTATTTTGCGTTTATTTGTGAAAGCATTTTCACCTTAATTCTAACCATAAAAACTATTATTGTAACCCATTTTGCCATACAATCACTGCCGACAATACACACAATACTGTACACACATTTATCCAGAATATAATGCCTCTCAATAATAGCCCAAATTGACCCAATTGTTACCCTATTGTCACCCCATTTTGGCCCTATTTAAGAGCTAACCTAACTTAACACACACTCAGTCGTTAATCTACAGCCATGTAGTCCTCCAAACACACTCCTCGTGTGTCTCACACTAATTGTGTGAAAGTACCTAAAAATTGTAACTTTTTTAATAAAATGTGAAAAATAAATAAAAGTAATTAAAAGTTATGCCAAAACGACTCATCCTTTACATATATTTAACATTTTAAATACAAATATAATTATAATAATAGCTTTATGTTTTTATATACTAGCAATTTTTTATAAAACGTTTCATAGTATATAAAAATTTATATTTTTGCAAATTTAGGGGAGAGATTGTGAGAAATTTTATTTTAAATTAATAAATATACATTTACCAACATTTTAAACACCAAAAATGTGTTTTGACTGCAATTTACAAACAAAACCAAACACTAGATATAAACTACTGTCCACTCCGTATAATACCATTTAGAATACTTATTATATAAACATCCATACAATCTATACATACGAGTAGTGATGGTCTGTAGTGTTTATATTGATGTAATTGGCTTTCAATGTATGGCAAAGTGATTGAGGGCTCCGGACGAGTCGGATGGGGAACAGGGAGGGGGCAGAAGGGGACGGCATAAAGGGTGTCCATAATTTGGCCACTAATTGCCTGTTTCTTTGGTTTAATGTGTTGTATAAAACAAAACCGTTGATGTCATGCATACCATTCCCTACATCAGCGACGAGCGAGAGAGAGAGAGAGAGAGAGAGAGAGAGAGAGCATAGGGTTGTGTTTTTGAGCGCCCGGTTCCCANGAGAGAGAGAGAGAGAGAGAGAGAGAGAGAGAGAGAGAGAGAGAGATGTCTTAATGGTTTAGGCATTTGTTTTTTAAATATATCGTTCAATACATATACGTATGTTTAGGTTATTCACTGTTTTGTTTACTTTTCCGTCTCATCCCTCTCGACGAGACTCTCTCTCTCTCTCTCTCTCTCTCTCTCTCTCTCTCTCTCTCGCCGATCAGCTCTCAAATAACTGAAGCTCTTATATAACACACAGACACTGAAATGGGAGAGAGAGTGTCAGACCTCCGCTATTGGAGAGACCGTTAGACTTATGGATAAAAAAGTCATATAAGAGTTTAGATGATTATATTTATATATATAAATGTAAACAATGAGAACCGTATGTTTGGGTTATTTGGGAGCTAACGGTCCCCACACACAGTCACCGAGGGTTTAGATCTTGTTTTCAAGACACACATCGTTTGCCAACTGAGAGAGAGAGAGAGAGAGAGAGATGAGACGGAAAAGTAAACAAAACAGTGAATAACCTAAACAT